ACTTCCAAGTTCCGCAACGCGGCTATGGCAAGTATCATTCTAATGGAGTTTATTCTCGTCACGGGAGAATATGTGTCGAAGTAATCGAGGCCCTCGCGTTGCCTGTAACCCTTGATTACAAGCCTAGCCTTATACTTCTCGATGGAACCGTCCGGTTTCATCTTCCTTTTAAAGACCCACTTGGATCCTAAGGGTTTACTACCCGGAGGAAGATCAACCAGTTCCCAAGTGTGATTCTGTAGAATAGAATCCACTTCACTTTTTATAGCCTCTTTCCACATTGGTCCTTCCGTAGAAGTCATGGCTTCTACATACGTTCGAGGCTCGTTCTCTATCAAACAAGATAGAAAATCGGGTTCATTTTCTAATAAACAAGTTAGAGTACCCGAATCGTACTCTAACAAGTAAGTTAGAAAATCAGGACCGAATGATTTTCCAACTCTCGCCCGCTTACTGCGTCTCGGCTCGAGCTCGGGTTCTCTCTCGGATTCCCCACTATCATTATCCATAGTTTCGTCAAACGTTCGTTTTGACGTACTTGGCCCCTCGTTGGACCTACAAGGAAATATATTTTCAAAGAAATATGCATTCCTTGATTCTATTATCGTGTTCTCGTGTACATCCGGATTATGGGACTCGTGTACTAAGAATCGATAAGCACTACTATTATGTGCATAGCCAATAAAGATACAGTCCATCGTCTTAGGACCTATCTTTACTTTCTTAGGTGTTGGCACCAAAACTTTGGCAAGACACCCCCACACTTTCAGGTACTGGTAGGAAGGTTTCCTACCGTTCCACAGCTCATAAGGAGTCTTATCGAGCTTCTTTCGGGGTACCTTATTCAAAAGGTAATTACTTGTCAAAATCGCCTCACCCCACGCATCTTGAGGTAGGCCCGAACTTATAAGCATCGCATTCATCATATCTTTCAATGTACGATTCTTTCGTTCGGCAACACCGTTCGATTGAGGTGAGTAAGGTGCCGTACGTTCGTGTATTATACCTACACTTGCACAGAAGTCACCAATAGGTGCTTCGTACTCACCACCTCTATCGCTTCTAACCTTCTTAATTCTCCGATTAAGTTGGTTTTCCATTTCATTCTTATAAAGAACGAATTTATCAACGGCTTCATCTTTGCTCTTAAGCAAATACACATAGCAGTATCGTGTGCTATCGTCGATAAATGTGATAAAATACTTATTACCACCTCTCGTTTGTATCGATCTAAAATCGCACAAATCACTATGGATTAATTCTAGTGGTTCAGTTTCCCTTTCAACCGATTTGAAAGGTACTTTAGTTAGTTTTGCCTCAACACAAATTTCACACTTGTTATTTGTGTCAATATTAAAGTTAGGAATATGGTCCATGCTAATTAATCTACGCATAGAATTAAAGTTAACATGACCTAGTCTACCATGCCATAAATTGGAAGACTCAAGCAAGTAAACAGAATTAACTTTGCTTTTATTGATAACAGGAATTACACTGAGCTTAAAGAGCCCATCAGTTACATATCCTTTACCAACAAACATCCCTAACTTGGACAAAACTACTTTGTCTGACTCGAACACCATGCGAAAGCCATGCTTGTTCAACAAAGAGCCAGACACAAGATTCTTCCTCAGCTCAGGAACATACAGCACGTTGTTCAACGTTAGTTCCTTCCCGGAAGTCATCTTCAGAACCACCTTGCCCATCCCTTCCACAGCAGACTGAGCAGAGTTTCCCATCCACACCTTACCTTTTCACCCTCAACAGTCTCAAAGGTGTTGAACATCTCTCGGTTGCAACACAAGTGCCTGGTTGCACCGGTATCAATGAACCACTCACGAGGGTTTGAGCCCACGAGGTTCACCTCGGTCACCATAGCCGAAAGGCTAATCTCGACCTCTTTCTGATTGCTATCTCCAACAACATTGGCTTCAGAACTCTTGTTCTTCTTCCTTGGAGCCTTGCATTCAGATGCTCTGTGGCCATGCTTGCCACAATTGTAGCATTCACCAGGAAACTTGTTCTTGGTAACGCCACCTTTCGGACCTAGCTTTCGCTTGTCCTTCTTGTTCCTCTTGGAGCTCTTATCGTGCTCCACAACGTTGGCCTTAGCGCCAACAACGATAGGAGCCTTCCTATCATTCGTCCTGTTCCCTTCCTCAATCCTGAGTCGCTGGATCAGGTCCTCTAGATTCATCTCCTTTCGCTTATGCTTAAGGTAGTTCTTGAAGTCCTTCCAACCTGGAGGCAACAAATGGATCACAGATCCCACTTGGAAGGCTTCACTTAGCACCATGCCCTCGTCACGGATCTCATCAAAGATTAATTGCAAATCTTCTACCTGACTTAGCACGGTCTTTGAATCAACCATTTTGAAGTCGAGGAATCGGCCAACTACAAATTTCTTTGAGCCGGCATCCTCACTTCGGTATTCATGATCCAAAGCTTCCCACAACGCTTTTGATGTGCTTATCTTTCGATATACATCATATAGCGTGTCACACAATCCATTCAGGATGTAGTTTCGGCAAAGGAAGTCCGAATCCTTCCAATAGCCAACCGCCATCACGGATTGTGCATCTTGTTCCTTCAACTCGGGAACACTCTCGGACAAGAACCTTGCCAAGCCGAGAGTTGCTAGGTAGAACAACATTTTCTGTTGCCACCTCTTGAAGTTCGAACCAACACCGGTGAACTTCTCCGGCTTTTCAGCCGAACCACTCGGTACCGTAGGTACCCGAGACATGGGAATATATCCCTCAGTGCTCCCACCATCTTGTGAACCAACGTTCACTGGTGTAGCTTGGGAATTAGCAACATTATTGCCGTTTCCTCCATTGTTGTTCTCAACAACATTTTCTTCCCCATTGTTAACGATTGGCAACTCGGGGTTCTCCATTTCTTCAAGGAAATTCGAGAAAACAACCAACGGGAAAACAAAAAAATTAAGGTTTTAAGACTGTTGGTACCGTTGGTAGAAAACAAATAATAATCAAATAAAAAATTGACTATTATTTTCTGGAAAGAAGGGAAGAAAATTTGAAGAAAATTGGCTAGTGTTTGGTGTTGGGTTTTTGCAAGAGTCAAGTGTGCACTCTTTCCTTAAAACCTTATTTGCCACCTCCCGTAGATGCTAGGAGCGTTGTGGCCTAGGCTTCCCAGGATAAAACTTGCTATGATCTAATGTTTGAGCATTCAAACAAAGGATCCGGCGAGCAAGACAATGGCTATGAACACAGTATAGCTCAAGAAAGAGTAGAAGCAGAGTTTTTTGAAGTTGGAAAAGTATACTTTCGTGCTGTGTAAAGCTGTGTGTTTAACTCTACTGCCTCTATCCGTAACAGATGAATTCAATCATCCAGTTTCGGCCCTTGCACCTTTCGTGGAAAATGCTGCCTCTATCCGTAACAGATGAATTCAATCATCCAGTTTCGGCCCTTGCACCTTTCGTGGAAAATGATAGCCCGCAAGGCCAGCCAATTTCCGGACGACATTCGTGCCCCCAGGTGCCGGCGCACACGAGCTTGAATCAAGCCTTTTTCAATCTCTGCTAGTTGGAATTTGATTTGCACACCCCCCCCCCCCCCCCCCCCCCCCCGCGCGAGAGAGCCTCTATGCTATACAATTCTACAAGCTTCAAAAGAGCTCTTGTATATAAGGGGGGAAAATCTTCATTCCAAAGCAATGTGGGACAAAAGCTCACTTTTTCCCTTCATTTTCCAACTCAAATGGGTCTACTTTGAGAGTCAATATCTCATTCACCCATTATCCGTTTTGAGCGTACAATATATCGATCTCTTCGTCTCACTACGAAGAATCCGAATCCACTTTAACCCGACCCAAATCGGAAGTGGACCCCACTGATAATTGTACCACAAAATAGCCACTTCACATGCCATTTTATGCCATTTTAAGCTATTTTTTCCAACAATAAATTGCCACTTAGCACTCTATTATATTTCCTTGCTATGCTAAGCCAATAAATAAAAAAGAAAAAGTGTGAAATTCATAATCTTTTTTTTTTTCTTTCTTTATCCAAGCGAATAGTATTAATTATTAAGATTTTTAATTAAAAAATCTGTCATTGACAAAAAATAGTCTCATTGTTTTTTTTGTTTGAAAGCCAAAACCAACAATAGTAGATTACTGCATAAGAACATAAACAAAGTCAGGCGACACAGAGTCCCAATACAGTGTGTTAGCATGTGAATAGGCCACTGAAGTTAGAGTGTGAGATAGAACATTGGCAGTTATAGAAATTAAGTAAATAGAACAAGAAACAAAAGAGCGAATGATTTTCAATGCCAACATATGATTGAAACTTTACCGTAGGAGTAGTTAAATTGCGGCGAAGAAGAGAACAGTCGGTCTGCAAAGTAACTAAGGTTAGCCTACACTTCTTCCAAGATAGCGCCTCTTTACATGCTAAAGTTTCCGCCATAAATAGCCTCATTGTTATTTATTAAGTTACTTTTAATTTGTAATGATATTCTAATGCTTAAGTGATACTAAATGTGTAAATTATACTCTAAATTATTTTTTAGATAACCATTGGTTGAAATAAAGAAGACAACTATTTGAGAGAAGAAAGAAGACAACTGTGATTATTAATAAGACTATCTAGTGAAGATGACTATGATTATTTTATACGTGGAAGGTTTAGATATAGACTTCACGAAGGCAGCCCTCTAGATAGTTACTTTTACTATCTAGACATGACATAAATTAGACTTGGTAAAGATGACAAATTGATTTATGATTGAATTTGACAAATTTTTCAACCAAAAAAAGTGATTGTGTAACTACACATGATTTTTTAAAAAGATATTTTTGTTATACTGTGCTGCTCAACCTATGGTTTCCACAGTTTTCACGTTAAACCCACCCATAAGTACAGTAACAGATAATATATAATACGGAGTATATAATATAATACTTCCCGTAATGAAATGTATTTTATTATTTAAAAATAATAATGTAAAAATACAGTTGGCTTCTTCCTCTTTGGCAATTGGTATGCGAAGAAGTTTAGCTAAAGCAAAAATAGTCCGTACGATCGCTCTCTCTCTCCACTTTTTATATCTGGAAGTACTCGCAATTGCAATCTCCATAAACCCCTAATTGCTTCTCGATTTGTGTGTCATGGCTTCCGGATCATCGAGTCGGGCCAACAATCCGGGTTCTAAAGCCTTTGATTTCGCGTCAGATGATATTCTTTGCTCCTACGATGACTTTGCCAATCAGGACAACACTAATGGAAATCACTCTGATCCAGTGACTGCTTCCAACTCCGCAAAGGTACTCCCTTTCTCTTATCACCCTGTCTCCTGTTTAAATTTATTTCACTTTTCGTGTTTATATCTCTGATTCTCAGCTAGGGTTTTTTGAATAGTGGGTTAAGTTTCGGAGTTTACTCAATAACCGTTTCATTAGTGAATTTGCTTATTGTTATCTGGTTAGAATCATAGTCCACATTCAGCAGATATTTGAAATATTAAAGATACAAAATTTTGATTCACCTAATTTATTAGTTTTGATTTCTTAAATAAAGCTATACCCTTTATATTTAGCAGGAATTTCACAAAAACAGAATGACAAGAACAGCTATGTTTCCTGCTCCTGCTTATAGTCCGCCTGAGGAATCTTCAGTTCATCAAGATGTTGGTGCTATTGTTGAGAAGACTGTGAAGAAATATGCTGACAATCTGATGCGTTTCCTTGAGGGAATAAGTTCACGGCTGTCTCAGCTGGAATTATATTGTTACAATCTTGATAAATCCATAGGAGAAATGCATTCTGATTTGGTACGGGATCATGGAGAGGCAGATACCAAGCTCAAGTCTCTTGAGAAGAATCTCCAAGAGGTACATATCTATATTTATCATAGCACAAGTTATCTTACTCTTCTGTGATATAACTGCTGTATCTCATCTATTCCTCTCTGAAGCAGATTTTGAAATATACTTCATAATGCTCTATATTTGTTGGCATGCTTTTCGATGGAGTTGAAGTTTGAAAATATCACAGCCCTTTTTAAACTGTAAAAGTGTAAGATAATGATAATTTTCTTTTTCTGCTAGATTAATATTATTAATAAAAACCGAGAAACCGTGCTAAACTGACTTTTAGCAGCCTTATGGCCCAGAGCATGAAATCCTTTCAACCACCATTGTTGTCATCACAAGCAGGTTTAGGGGTCTATTGGATGAGTTTCCACCAAGTAATATTGCCATTAGAAATTAAATTGTGTGTGCTAGTGCCATCTATTACATTACTTGAAAATTGTGCACTTCCCATCTTGCAAAAAAGTAGGGAAATAGAGATTCTTCAACTTTAATTTTGTGTCTGATTGGTTTTATTTCTTTGTAGGTGCACAGGTCTGTTCAGATTCTGAGAGATAAGCAAGAACTTGTTGAAGCTCAGAAGGAACTGGCCAAGCTTCAGCTTGCACAGAAGGATTCATCAGGTAGCAATTCCCAAGAGAACGAGGAGAGAACTAAACAGCCTCCAGATACCAAAAGGGGTGATAATGAAGTACATGAGCAGCAACTGGCACTTGCACTACCACATCAGTTAACACCACAGGCTTCACATACTACCCGACCTGTGGAGCAGCAGCAACAGCAACAGCAACCTGTCCAAGCTCCCGCACCAATTCCATCCCAAGGTGTCGCACAATCACCGGGGTACTATTTACCTCAACCTCAGATGCCACAAGCACCTAATCAATTGTCTCAAAGTCAATACATGCCATCTGACTCTCAGTACAGGACTTCACAAGCACAAGACTTTTCAAGGTTGCCACCACAACCTGTGCAATCTCAATTAAATCAGACCCCACAAACTCAGGGAGTACCTCCATATCAGCAGCAGTGGGTGCCCCAGCTACCCCAGCAAGTTCTACAACCACAGCCACAACAGCAGCCACAGCCACAGCCACAGCCACCGTCTATGCAACAGCAAGCTAGACCATCATCACCTGCTGTTTATCCCTCTTATCTGCCCAGTCAATCAAACCCTACTCCAGAGATGGTTCCTAGTACTGTTTCTATGCAAGTGCCTTTTTCTGGGATTTCTCAAACGGTTGCTAGCCGCCCTGAGGGAATGCCTTATGGGTATGGGGGGCATGGTAGGCCAGTTCAACCACAGGCTCCTGCTCAGCATCTGAGGCCCACATTTGGTGCAGCTGGTGATGGGTATGGAGTTGGTGGGTCCCACCCATCACTTGCCCCAGGAAATGCTTATGTAATGTATGATGGGGAAGGAGCAAGGACTCATCCAACCCAACAACCTCACTTCTCACATGGTGGTTATCCTCCATCCAGCTTTCCTATGCAGAACCCACAGCCGGCTGCCAACACTAGTGTAATGACTCGTCCGCCACAGATGGTGCGCAACCATCCCTACAATGAATTGATTGAGAAACTGGTGAGTATGGGTTACAGAGGTGATCATGTCATTGCTGTGATACAAAGACTGGAGGAGAGTGGTCAGACTGTTGATTTCAATGCCATACTTGATAGACTGAATGGGCATTCCTCTGGGGGCTCTCAGAGAGGATGGTAAGGGTAAATCACCACCGTAACCTGTCCAGTTGACATTCTTCTTGGAGGAATCGCTAAGAGGATAGTTGAGACATTCAACTATCTCCCCACCCCCCACCCCTGATAAGTGCGACAATGGTTTTAATCTACATGACAATGAATAAAATGTAGTATGAATAGCTTGGAAATTTGGTATATATAAGATGAAGAGATGCAGTGTATTATTTGGTCGTGGTCTCTTTCCTTGCTTTTTATGTTGTTGTAATGTTTAAACGCTTTGTTATTATTGGTGTGGGATATCATCTTACATGATATGCCAAGTTTGGAGTAGATTAAGGTTCTCTAATCTCTAGTAGTGTTGGCCAAACAATATTGAGAAATCTGTGCATCCTTGTAAAGATTCAGCAGCTAAAATGTTTGTTTGCATATTAAGATATGCAATGCAGTAGTAGATCATCCACACCCCTAACATATTCTACTCTACACAGTTAAGGAGAGTGCATAAAGCACACATACATCAAGTAGGTAGCATTACAAATTGCAAACTAGGAACTTTAATCAGAATAATGCTGTTCCTCCTATATATGCTTGGTATCAGCTGGTGAGTCTGAACTTGTCACAGTCCTTGGCACCATTTTCAGTGAAAATTGAAATAAGGTCATTCATCATTTTAGATACTTCTCCCTTCAATCTTTTTGAGCCACCACTTACAGGAGGAGTTTCAGCTACATTGCCCTGGATTACAAAACCAACTGCAGCACCCTCCATGTAGGCTTTACATGCTGACAGGATATCATGTGCATGCGTCTGAAAGTGACCAATAACAAGGTCTTGGAAATTCTGAAACACTAGTATGGAGTAATAATCAAAATAATGGAATTTTAACCAAAAAAAAAAAACATAAATATAGTATAGAAGATCATACCAGTGGAGGCCTTTGAAGCGTATACAACATTGTTTTCAAGGAGAGGACAAACACTTGTTCATTGTACACTTTGGACCATTGCTCCCTCTCAACAGAAACAGACACACTTTCAGATCCAGGCTGATTAAAGAATGGCTTCGCGTTTAGAACTAAAGCTTGTATAGATACTAAAACTTGCAGCATGGTTGATATTTTTGGCTGCCAGTTCTCATGAGTTTCACCACCCCAAGTGTTGAGAAGGCTGAGGCAGACATTTCCACTGGGGTACAGATTAGGATTCAGTCTCAAGCCACCAGAGTAATAGTAAACCATCTGTCAAAACTCAAAATACAAATCTGTTTAACAAAATACACAAGACAATAATAAGGACACTTGAACAAATACGTACTGGTGGTTTATCAGGATATGTGTGAGGGTAATAGGCATCAAACACAAAAAGAGCATCATGATAGGGAGTTCCTTGTGCTCCAACAATGACCGCTCTTAGAAGATCCATCCTCGTTTCATATACTCTCACATATATGGAATCTGTGGAACAGATTGAGAAAAGAGATTAAGTTCCATTGTTGTGAAACAAAGTTATTAGGAAAAATTGGTAGCCTTTCTACTTTATCTAAGAGATTTCGACTCACCAGGTAAACCATTCTTCAAAATCTCCCAATCATCCTGAATTTTCTTCAACCATGCCTTGGGCTGTTAAGAAATACACAAGCAGAGGTTAACATAATCATAGTAGCCAAGAAAATTATGGTGCAGAAGAGCAAAGGTGATGGTATTTCTTACCCGCTGCCCCAGGATGTCCATATTGTAGTAGTAGTGGTCTGAGGGAGCATCAACAAGATCAAAATTTTTGAAATGTCGATATTTTCTTATGACTTCATTACCATCACCGTCACCATCTTGATCATCACACTTCCCACTAGAACTCTGTCCTGCAGAACTGCTTGAAGCGGAAGGCTCAATGTTTGTTCCACCAGAAGATCTATCTTGGGGTGCAGAAACAGTTGAGCTAGGAGGCACAGACGCCTCTACCCCAGAATCATCATCACTATCGTAGTCAAACGTATAGTCACCCTCTTCATCACTGTATTCACCCTCACAAACCACATCGTCATCGCACAATAAATCCGAGGACTCATATGCAGACGCAGAACCCTCAACATCCTTAGTGTTGGAAGAAACACAAGCTGAATTAGCCAAACAATACAAACTCCAACATAGAATCAAACTTGTAAACGCCAGCTGTGTTAATGATTTAATCACAGTAATTTCCTCAAGTAGTAATAACTATTTCCACAAGTCTTAAAGAGGCAAGCAAAGCTGCAGAAAATGAAAATCAGGGGGGGAACTTTGAACAAACACAAAAACACCAAAGCAAAAGATCAAGTAAAATGCATCGGCGATTACAGTTAGAAAGAAAGAAAGAAAATGTTACACACTCGAACTAATCACAACACATCATCAAGAAATGGCGCCAAACACCCAAGAAGCACGGAGAAGAGAAATTCTAAAACGATCATAGCCAATTCAACTATACTTGTTCAAAGAAGTGAAACAGATACCGCATAAACACTCATAGTTCATCTGGGGAACACCGATACCTCATTGTGGATGAACTTATTCACCGCCAAGCCTTCAAGTTCCAGCACCTCCATTCTTCTGGAATACGCTTCCGATCGCGAACCCTAACAGCTAAATCCCGCAGAGACAATGGCGTTCACAGTATATGAAGTAATGAGAGAGAAATTCTGAGCACTCCAGTGACGATGACTAAATAGTAATGAGAGAGAAGAGTAGCGCCAAGTCGGGTAAACCAGTTATTGCCACGTGGACTCCACCACGAGACCTCTACATGCTACGCTGGACCTCAGCTCCACCTCATCACTCTTGTGGATTGCCTGCCATTCCACCTAAGACTTCTGAATTCCCGGATTTACCCTCCGTCTTTTTGAAAACAACGTGCTAATAGTAATAGTAGGGCAAATTATTGTATGGAGCACGGTTCAAAATAACGTCGTTGAATTTTATGAGTTAAAATAGTATACATTATATGTTAGAATAATGAAATTTTGAGAATAAGATAATGTACTTTAAGAATTAGAATAATGTACATTATATTTTAAAATAATGTATATTATGAATTATAAAAATGTATATTTTAGTGGGTCACGTGAAATTTTTTTACGTAAAAATGACGTCGTTTTTGGATCTCGGTCCACGGTTCCCACAATAACTATTGTAATACTAGGACAAATTATTGTGTAGACCATGGTCAATGTAGTGTTGTATGGATCATAAAAGAATCTACATTTTTTAAGATACTTAAAAGTACATTATTTGTGTTCTAAAAAAAGTACATTATTTGTGTACTGAATTATTCAAATAATGTATTTTCTCTGAATACAAAATACATTTTTAATATAATAAAAGTATACTATTTTTGAACTAGATGTACATTATTTTATAATATATTAAATATGGTCGACAAAGCTTTCCACACAATAATGATTGCTAGTATTCAATTTGGGTTTTCATATTTTTAAAGGCCCAACAAAACAACCATTTGGAAGTCCGGCACATATACCTCGACGCAAAGCCCAGTCCAAATAACAGTCTTCAGTGGCGCCCTAAGTCCTAAGATTCAAAGCGTGCGGTAAACTTTACCGCCGTGCTTTCCCGCCAGATCGGCTGAGTTTGCTTATTGAGTTATATGATAGCATGAGATTGCTTATTGAGTTATATGATAGCATGAGATTGCTTATTGAGATATATGATATTATGAGATTGCTTATTGGGTTATATGATGATATGAGTTTGTTGTTGGAATTAATTTCACTTTTGGTCCCACGACTTTTGATGTTCTATCACTTTTGGTGCACAACTTTAAAATTTTTTAATTTTGGTGCCTAACTTTGTTATTTTTATCAGTTTTGGTCCTTTCGGCCAAATTGACAGCGAAATGTTGTTGGATTTTATATTTTTAGGGGTAAAATTGTCATCCTAAGGAAGCATCTTCAATATCTAAACAAAATCACTTAAAATCATATCTATAGGTGTTTGATCGATGAGAATAATGGGGAAGACGGGCAGAAACCAGACAGATCTATGGGATTTATAGTTTCGACAATTGACAAACTCTTCTTTTCCTTTTAATATGATTTTTCTTTTGTTTAAATATTGAAGATCTTTAAATTGGATGACGATTTTGTCCCTAAAATATAAAATCCGGAAATATTTTACCATCAATTTGGCTGGAAGGACCAAAACTGATAAAAATAACAAAATTAGGCACCAAAAGTGAAAAAATTTAAAGTTGTGCACCAAAAGTGATAAGAACTCAAAAGTTGTGGGACCAAAAGTGAAATTAATTCTTTGTTGTTGAGATATATGTTAGCATGAGATTGCTTGTTATAACTTAAGTATATTATTAACCATCAATTTGAGCATGATTAGTGTATATCGCCATGATAAGATATGTATGTGAAAGAATGAAATTGTTGATTAGCTAAATGATTGAGAAAGTATGTCTATTTGATAATTAGGTTGCATGCATATAGAAATCCTGCTGAGCATGTTTGAATGTTGCTTAAGTGATTGAGAATACTTGATCTAAGTGTGTGAAACGAATGTTTTCAAAAAGTATATACTGTAGTATTTTACAGTGTTGAGTGGCGTTATACTTAGTTTCGTGCTAACTGGTTGTTTTCTACTTGTTTGTTTGTTAACCCCTTTCAGGTGGGCCCAGTTCTTGAGAGCGATCGAGTTAGACTAGATTAGCTTAGTGTGCTAGTTGTAGTCTAAACTCTTATCAGTATGTTTATTTTGAGACTTGGTTGTAGACTTATCTGATCTAGATGTTTTGATGGTGCTGGACACCGGAGTTTCATTCCCCAAGTTTGTTTAAAGTTAGTAAGTCTGACCTTGTTTAGATGTTTTTCCTTGCCTGTGCAATCACTGTGTGTGGTGATTATGGTGGTGACACCTCTTAAAGTTGATTAGTAAGATTATTATGTTTGTTAGTATTCCTTTCTAAGCTAAGTATTTATTAATAAGATTTAAGAAAAGTGGGGTGTTACAACCTCTCTCTCGCCATTTCCCTTCTCCCACCTTACCCAAAGAGTTCCTCACCTTCCCAATCAAGAAAGCCAAGCAAGGTCTCACCTTTCTCTATCACCAAGCATAGGAGGGGTAAGTATTAGGTGTTTGTAGTCTTATTTCTTGGTTTTGCATCTTCTTCATCAAGTTTTTTCTTGTGTTTGTTGGGTTTGGGGTTATTAATGAAGAGCCCATTGAAGAGGACTTGCAAGAGTGATCTCGGAGGATTTTGGAAGGATTTGGATAAGCTAAGAAGGTAATCCTATGTCCAACAAAACCTAGTTTCCTTGTATAAATGCTTTATTGATGATCTTGTGTGGTGTGATGCATATTCTTGTGATTATGCTATTGTAGAGCTTGTATTTAAGGTTATTTGATGCTATTTGATAAACTATTCCTTCTATTCAAGTCTCATTTGTTGTTGATGTGAGTATTGAGGTATTTGGACTTGGATTGCACATTCTTGGAATTTTTTCCGAGATGATTTTCTTCTACAGGTTTCGCTACCAGCGGGCTCCTGGCGGGCAGTTTGCCACCCGTCAAAACCACCCGCCGATTCCTGGTTCTCGAAAGGGGATCGGCGGGTACTTTGGGTCCCACCGGAACCACCCACTGGTACGCCATGGGTTTTCGGCGGGACCTTTTGCACCTGCCCGAACCACCCACTGGTACGATGTTGTTGACTTCTTGATTTTGTTGATCCCCAAATATTTGTGTGTCTTTATTGATGTCTTGTAAGTCTAGAGCGATGTATTGTAAACCTTATGGTTAGGTTATGAGTCTTGAATCGTGGTTGTAATCCAATATTGTGATTCGTTGGATTCGAATAAAGTTTATGTTATTCGTATGAGCCTTTGTGATTACCTTGTTGGCGTGCATGCTAGTTACGTTGCTTATTGGTACTAGTGTGTGATAACCTTCTTGATTCTTGATTGAATTGATAGTTGAGCCTAACTATTCGTTGTATTGCCTTTGGAATATCTTCTTCGTATCTCTTTTGTGAATTCCTTTCATTGTGATCTATCGTTGTGAGCTTGTACATTCGTTGTACTTTATCTTTGATGATTCTTCGATTGAGCTATTGTTTGAGCTTACCCATTGTTGTACACACTTCTTGTGAAATCTATACCTTTGCTTTGTATCTCTAGATTTCTTGTGTATTGAACTCTTGTTGTGTTGATTGAGTTGGTGTGATGGATAGTGGGAACTTTATCTTATTGGGATTCGAGATAATGGTATATTTGAATCGAGACTAGATCCCCGTGGATGTTACTGAATCGGGACTTAGTGTCCCCGCGGAAAAAATGAATCGGGTCCTCTCCCGCGGAAACCATAATCGGGACTTAGTGTCCCCACGAAAATCTCAATCGGGTCTACGACCCCGCGAAATCCATACTAGGGTCCTTTGACCCTGCGGTACTTATTAGTTCTAGGCCCTCACACTGTTCCACTTGATTCAAGTCGTTGTGATGACTACGCGGTGAATGACTTGGTTTGGGTATGTCCTTTGGGGATTTGGAACGTTGTCGGTGATTGATTTATTGTGTTACTTGTTGAGAACTACCTTGTTGATGATTGTGCTTACCTTACCTTACTAGTTACTTGTTATCTCTTGATTCGTTATCTCTATTTCTTGAATTGATCCATATCGTTGTCTCCTGGTATTGAGTGGTATTGTTGAGTACATTTCTTGTATGGTCGGTGTATTACCTCTATTCCCCGTGATTTATAAAGTTAGAGTTGTTTAAGGATATACTTATGTATTCCCAAGTCTCAAAATAGTTTTTATCTATAAAGTGTTGGAAAAATAGCTTAAAATGGCATGTTAAGTGGCTATTTTGTGGTACAATTATCAGTGGGGTCCACTTCCGATTTGGGTCGGATTAAAGTGGATTCGGATTCTTCGTAGTAAGACGAAGAGATCGATATATTGTACGCTCAAAACGGATAATGGGTGAATGAGATATTGATTCTCAAAGTAGACCCATTTGAGTTGGAAAATGAAGGGAAAAAGTGAGCTTTTTGTCCCACATTGCTTTGGAATGAAGATTTTCCCCCCTTATATACAAGAGCTCTTTTGAAGCTTATAGAATTGTATAGCATAGAGGCTCTCTCGCGCGGGGGGGGGGGGGGGGGGGGGTGCAAATCAAATTCCACTAGCAGAGATTGAAAAAGGCTTGATTCAAGCCCGAGCTATCAAGCCTGAGCTCGTGTACGCCGACACGAATGTCGTCCGGAAATTGGCTGGCCTTGCGGGCTAAGTTATGCCAAACTTTGGTATCATTTTCCAACTGGTATAGCCACTTGGTTCGGGTTCGGCCAGAACCGAACCGAGAGCACGCCTACTCTCGTGCTACAAGAGAGCCACTTGGTTCGGGTTCGGCCAGAACCGAACCGAGAGCACGCCTACTCTCGTGCTACAAGAGAGCACGAGAGGTTGTGGTGCGCCGAGAGCACAACTCTTGAGACCGAACCCTGTACGCTAACGGATTTTCCAACTGGTATAGCCACTTGGTTCGGGTTCGGCCAGAACCGAACCGAGAGCACGCCTACTCTCGTGCTACAAGAGAGCCACTTGGTTCGGGTTCGGCCAGAACCGAACCGAGAGCACGCCTACTCTCGTGCTACAAGAGAGCACGAGAGGTTGTGGTGCGCCGAGAGCACAACTCTTGAGACCGAACCCTGTACGCTAACGGTCAGGAACACGAAAGTTCTGACTGTTGAGGGGATTGAGTTCATCTGTTACGGAATTAATGAGGGGATTGAGTTCATCTGTTACGGAATTAATTGTCTATTAATTCCAATTTTGAATTCTGAATTCAATTCCCAGGTAGTGGCCTGGCCTGCTGTTATAGCTGTTGGAAGGCAGCTTTAATGTCATTTTTAATTGCCATAATAAAGGCTATTGGCTCCTTCAACCCTATATAAGAGAGGGTAGAGGCAGTAGAGTTTTACACACAGCTTAACACAGCACGAAAGTATACTTTTCCAGCTTCAAAAATCTCTGCTTCTACTCTTTCTTTAGCTATACTGTGTTCATAGCCATTGTCTTGCTCGCCGGATCCTTTGTTTGAATGCTCAAACATTGGATCATAGCAAGTTTTATCCTGGGAAGCCTAGGCCACAACGCTCCTAGCATCTACGGGAGGTGGCAAATAAGGTTTTAAGGAAAGAGTGCACACTTGACTCTTGCAAAAACCCAACACCAAACACTAGTCATTTTTCTTCAAATTTTTCTTCCCTTCTTTCCAGAAAATAATAGTCAATTTTTTATTTGATTATTATTTGTTTTCTACCAACGGTTCCTACATAAAGTATATGATTATGTATTTCAACGCGTTGGAGTGGGTTACTTAGAAATTTTTGCTAATGGTTGTTATACCTTGTGATTTAAGTGTTTAGTCGATCCGAGAGCACGATAGATGGAACCCCGGTTTAGACTAGTTTTCCCTTTCTCTAGCTCAGATGTTATGGCCTGTGAGCCTTTGGACTTGTAGACTTTTGACTAGTGGTTTGTATAAGCATATGCATCTAGATTGGATGGCCTAGATGTGGCATGACATCCCTATTACTATGTTAGCTTCCGTTGGATTTTATATGTTGATGTTTAGATTTCGTCCTTATTTTCCTAAGTTTGAATGCTTTCAATATGTCTAGTTTTTGGGGTGTTACACTCTCAGAGAGAATGGTAAAAGATAAATCACCACCGTAACTTGTCCAGTTGACATTCTTCTTGGAGGAATCGCTAAGAGGTTAGTTGAGACATACAACTATCTCCCCACCCCCCACCCAGCTCGACAATCACCGTAATGGTTTTAATCTACATGACAATGAATAAAATGTAGTATGAATAGCTTGGGAATTTGGTATATATAAGATGAAGAGATGCACTGTATTATTTGGTCGTGAGTCTCTTTCCTTGCTTATGTTGTTGTAATGTTTAAACCCTTTGTTATTATTGCGGTGCAGAGATGTGTTGGATATCATCTTATGTTCAAGGGGACATCTATACCATAGCGCAATATTGAAAAATCTGTGCATCCGATAAAGATTCAGCAGCTAAAATGTTTGTTTGCATATTAAGATATGCAATGCAGTAGCAGTAGCAGATCATCCACACCCCTAACATATTCTACTCTACACAGTTAAGGAGAGTGCATAAAGCACATACATCAAGTAGGTAGCATTATAAATTTAATCAGAATAATGTTGCTCCTCCTATATATGCTTGGTATTAGCTGGTGAGTCTGAACTTGTCACAGTCCTTGGCACCATTTTTAGTGAAATTTGAAATAAGGCCATTCACCATTTTAGATACTTCTCCCTTAAACTTTTCTGAGCCACCACTGCCCTGGATTTCTCCCTTGACTACAGAACCAACTGCAGCACCCTCCATGTAGGCTTTACATGCTGACAGGATATCATGTGCATGCGTCTGAAAGTGACCAATAACAAGGTCTTCGAAATTCTGAAACACTCGTATGGAGATTAAAACCAGATGTCTGATGGGAATGCAAAACTTGGAATAACAAAAAACATACTAATAAAAAGCTAGAGCATAAATACACAGCTGCCTATAGTATAGAAGATCAATCATACCATACCATTGGAGGCCTTCGAAGCGTATACATCATTGTTTTCAAGGAGAGGACAAACACTTGTTCATTGTAACCTTTGGACCTTCGCTCCCCCACAACACCAACATAAGTATTTTCAGATCCATCAGATCCAGGCTCATTAAAGAATGGCTTCGCGTTTAGAACTAAAGCTTGTATAGATACTAAAACTTGCAGCATGGTTGATTTTTTTGGCTGCCAGTTCTCATGAATTTCACCAGGCCAAGTGCCGAGAAGGCTGAGGCAGACTTTTCCATCGGCGTACAGATTAGGATTCAGTCTCAAGCCACCAGAGTAATAGTAAACCATCTGTCAAAACTCAAAATACAAATCTGTTTAACAAAATACACAAGACAATAATAAGGACACTTGAACAAATACGTACTGGTGGTTTATCAGGATATGTGTGAGGGTAATAGGCATCAAACACAAAAAGAGCATCATGATAGGGAGTTCCTTGTGCTCCAACAATGACCGCTCTTAGAAGATCCATCCTTGTTTCATATACTCTCACATATATGGAATCTGTGGAACAGATTGAGAAAAGAGATTAAGTTCCATTGTTGTGAAACAAAGTTATTAGGAAAAATTGGTAGCATTTCTACTTTATCTAAGAGATTTCGACTCACCAGGTAAACCATTCTTCAAAATCTCCCAATCATCCTGAATTTTCTTCAACCATGCCTTGGGCTGTTAAGAAATACACAAGCAGAGGTTAACATAATCATAGTAGCCAAGAAAATTATGGTGCAGAAGAGCAAAGGTGATGGTATTTCTTACCCGCTGCCCCAGGATGTCCTTATTGTAGTAGTAGTGGTCTGAGGGAGCATCAACAAGATCAAAATTTTTGAAATGTCGATATTTTCTTATGACTTCATTACCATCACCATCTTGATCACCACACTTCCCACTACAACTCTGTCCTGCAGAACTGCTTGAAGTGGAAGGCTCAATGTTTGTTCCAACAGGTTGAGATGTGAAGTTTGCAGATGTCCCTACACCAGCAGGTTGAGCTGAAGAGCAATCTTGGGGTGCAGAAACAGAAGTGGCAACAGTTGAGCTAGGAGCAGGATTATTCAACCAAGACACATCCGCCTCTACCCCAGCAGGCAAATCAATACTGTCAAATTGCGCTTGCAATTTCAGGTAATCAGAATCATCATCATTGTCGTACTCAGGCATATAGTCATCCTCATCATTGTCGTAGTCATCATCATCACTGTCGTTGTCAAACATATAGTCACTCTCTTCATCACTGTATTCACCCTCACAAACCACATCGTCATCGCACAATAAATCCTCACAAACCCCATCACTTGCATCCGAGGACTCAACATCCTTAGTGTTGGAAGAAACACAAGCTGAATTAGCCAAACAATACAAACTCCAACATAGAATCAAACTTTTAAACGCCAGCTGTGTTAATGATTTAATCACAGTAATTTCCTCAAGTAGTAATAAGTAATAACTATTTCCACAGGTCTTAAAGAGGCAAGCCAAGCTACAGAAAATGAAAATCACTTTGAACAAACACAAAAACACCAAAGCAAAAGATCAACAAAAATGCATCGGAGATTACAGTTAGAAAGAAAGAAAGAAAGAAAGAACACATCATCAAGAAATGGCGCCAAACACCCAAGAAACACGGAGAAGAGAAATTGTAAAACTATACTCGTTCAAAGAAGTGAAACAGATACCGCATAAACACTCATAGTTCATCTGGGGAACACCGATACCTCATTATGCATGAACTTATTCACCACCTCCATTCTTCTGGAATACGCTTCCGATCGCGAACCCTAACAGCTAAATCTCGCAGAGACAATGGCGTTCACAGTATGTACGTACACACCCCGATTGAAGTAATGAGAGAGAAATTCTGAGCACTCCAGTGACGATGACTAAATAGTAATGAGAGAGAAGAGTAGCGCCTTGTCGGGTAAACCAGTTATTGCCACGTGGACTCCATCACGAGACCTCTACATGCTACGCTGGACCTCATCACTCTTGTGGATTGCCTGCAATTCCACCTAAGACTTATGAATTCCCCGATTTACCCTCCGTCTTTTTTAAAACAAAACCACGTCTTGTGTTTGTGCTTGTGCTAATAGTAATACTATGACAAATTATTGTGTGGACTCAAAATAACGTCGTTGAATATTATCAGTTAAAATAATGTATATTACGAATTATGAGTTAGAATAATATATATTATATGTTAGAATAATAAAATTTTTGGAATAAGATAATGTATTTTAAAAATTAGAATAATGTACGTTATATTTTAAAATAATGTATATTATGAGTTATAAGTATACTGCAGTGGCTCACATAAATTTTTTTTACATAAAATAACGTCGTTTTTGAACCGTGGACTACGGTTCACTCAATAACTATTGTAATACTAGTCACGAGTCAGTTAGACAGCAATCGTTATACTGTGCACCAGGGTGCATAATGCATTGTGCGCCCTGCCCAAAACGACGTTGTTTTTATTGTTCAGATTTTATGTTAAGAGTTTATGTATATTCTGTTATGAGTATATGTGTATTATATATTATGTTAGATTATGTGCATTCTGTTATGAGTTTAAGTGTATTATGTATTATATATTATGTTAGATTATGTGTATTATGTATTATGTTAGATTATGTGTGTCCTGTTATGAGTTTATGTATTTTCTGTTATGAGTTTATTTACATTCGAAACAGTTTTTTTTTTTTTTTTTTTTTTTTTTTTTTTGAATTTAACAGTAAAAACGGAAAGTGAGATTTTTTTAAAAAACATAGTCAAAACGACATCGTTTTAACGGTTAGATTTGATTTTGTAAATATTCAATTTGGGCTTTCATGCATTTAAAGGCCCAACCAAACAACCATTTGGAAGTCCGGCCCATATACCTCGGCGCAAAGCCCAGTCCAAATAACAGTCTTCAGTGGCGCCCTAAGTCCTAAGATTCAAAAGCGCGCGGCAAACTTTACCGCCGTGCTTTCCCGCCAGAGCGTCTGAGTCATATCTTTTATACTTATTATATATACGAACATCTCCCCTGCATCTCTAATATATCTTTCCTATTATTTTCTTTACTGAATTATTGTTATACAAATCAGTTGCATTGAATCGCCGCCATGGTTGTAGCTTTAGGTCCGGGCAAATTCTACGGCAAGAGCCTTCCAAGGCCACGGATCTACACCGACGTCAAGTTCAACGAGGAGCGGGTCGACCCGCCGGTGCCTGTCTTCGATCCTCTCATGTCGTGGGCCGAGGAGGCGCACTGGTCCATGGGCGGCCTCAGCTTCAAGCGCCACCGCCTCCAGGGCCGGATCGAGGGCAATATCAGCAAGATACGGGCGGAGCACGAGAAGCAGGTTAAGAAACTCAAGAAGAACTCCCCCTCTAAATCTTCTTCCCCTGTCTTCTACACCCCCTCACCTCCTCCTGCTCCCATCGCCGTGAAGCGAAAGCGGCGCTTGATTGACGAGGAAGAGGGCGACGAAGCTCCGAGAGGAAGCAAAATGTGGCCGGTGAGGAAACTAGGCGATGATTTTGATAGAGTTGCGTATGAAAGCGGATTGATCGACAGTGGCTCGGAGGAGACGGTTGCGGCGCGGACGAGGGGCCGGAAGGCGGAGAAAGCAGCGGTGGAGGCGGAGGTTGTTACGAAGGTTAAGTCTAAGGGCTTGAAGAGGCTGAAGAAGGGCATCAAAAAAAGCGTCAACAGATCTTCCCCAAGATTGGCTAAGCGTGAGTCACCTTGAAACTGTTTGATAATTTGTCTCAGAGTCAGCAGTACAAAACCTAAAATTTTTAGTCTATTCCCCTTTTGTGATGCCTTGTGTTTATCGGCATTGTAATGTAAGCGTTTAATCTCTCAAGCTATGGAATTCTATAATAATGTTATTAAAGTGGGATTTCACCTTGAGAAAAGTAATCACAACATAGCTAGGTTGCTGAAGATGTATCTTGAAAAGACAATGCTCTCAAATCTTGTTTATAAGAACAGACAACATTTGAAAAGAATATCATTTTTCCATCTTGAAGTGTTTGACGATTAGAACAATGAGGTTTTTGTCTTGCAAATCCACCAACCCAAATTTGCACATTTATCAATGGCAGATCGCCAACTGTCATCTCACCTTCTACCCCGTGAATCCAGCGTTTAGGTTCCCCTTGTCCCCCCTTCTCAGTTCCAACTGGTCTGACTCTCTATTGTGCCTGACACTTAACAGCTCTAGCTCTTTGTCTGTTAAGATAAGCACAAATTTCTGCCTATAAAATTCAAGAATCTTCATCTTTACTACATTGCCAAGAGTTTGGAGCTTGATAGTTATCAAGATTAAAGCTTTTAGGGGCTGAGTTTCATTTGCAGAGAGCAGATCATTAAAAGATTGATCTTTACACTGCTAAAACACAGTTTACTTGGTTTGAGTAGGGGTGTTTGATAAAATCATTTGAGGGTGGTTGGTGAATGGATTCATCTTGTTTTTTCATAATCTGCATTCTGCATTCATTGGTAGCTGTAACTTCTGGTGGTCTCATAATGTTTTACCTCGATGAAATCTCGGTTTTGGGACATGGCACTGAGACAGCAAGGAAGCTGTTGGGATCAACCCCACATGATCAGTTGTTGATAAAGACATCTGATTCCTTTGTGGGGTTGCTGTTGTGTGTGATTGGGTTGTTGTTGTTCATGGTGTCTTTTATTAAGGATAGAGACTTCCAGAGCTTTTTCGCCAAGGGTTGTATTCTTCTTCACATACTAATGGCAGTATGGAGGTTGTATTTTGAGAGGAAGCTTGAAGCTTTGGCTCATGATTGGCCTAGACAACTTATTGGGGACTTTGTGCTGGCACTTTCTTGGGTCCTTTTTCTAGTTTGCACATGGACTGAAAAGTATGATTGAAGGCAGACTAATACTTGAATCTCACTGGAAAAGCTTGTAGTTGCAGGGTCTTTTATTCTTTATTGAAAATTTTCTCATATGCTCTTCTGATTCTGTAACAACATTAAAACTTCCTGTGATTGTTTCCTTGGTAATGTGAAATGACAAAAAGAGCGACTTGTGCAGGTATATGAAGCTGTAATGATATTTCTTCTGATTCTGGGTTTGACACCATTGTTTCTGAAGTTACAATGATGTTTCTTCTCTTTTTTCTGTGGGCTTTTCACATGCTATATTACTTGCTTCTCAAGTGCTAAAAACACAGGAGTATTGCAGGGTGGAAAGGTGGAAAACATGAGCAGTAAAAATGCTTTTACTGTTTATGTTCTAGATTCCATATTGTGTGCTATGCAGTCATTTTCTGATGCTTTCTCCTCACCATTATACCATTAAAAAAGGTTTACTCAAATGTAAATTATTACACTGTTAATAATTGACCTCACCCCAAATAAGAAGCAGGTGGGATCAAATTTGATATTCCTAATAAGTACAATGAACAGTATATTTTGATGAGAATGGGCAATAGTCAAAACATTGATCATAGTCCTTATGAATGTGGAAGCACATATGGACATGTCATGTTGGCTGTTGTTTCCCAACAAATTAATCCACTCCCTCCTTACACTAATCTTCCATCAAACCATGATAGGGAATGATTCACTTCATCGGAGCAACTTACGTTTCAGTCACCTACCACTCATTCCTCTCATGTTTCAATTCCGTCCTTCAAAATTTTTTATTTTAAGATAACCGAATTGATAGGAAATAAAGAGTTATTTGTATTGGTCATACATAAAAAGGCGTACCAATTTAGAGGATTAAAGCTAAAATTAGGGAGAAAATGGAAGGAAAAATAATAAATGATGTAAACTAGGAAATGGTGCACCTAGTTCTCACATGGGGTGAAATCTTGAAGGTCTGATCTAATGGCCAGCAGCATATGATGATGGAGATAGTTACAATGTAGAAGAAGCTTTAGGGAACAACAAAACAAATCGTCACCAAAAAAGAAATTAGAAATCATGGCAAAACCAAGATTTCAGATCTAATTAGGGGCAATGTAAATTGTAAAACAACATCCCATCACACCATCAAAAAGACCCAAACTTTATCTTCATTTCTAGGTTTCACCTGATTTTCTGCTGTTTCTTTCTGATGGGTACATGTTAGGTGTGCCATCTTGCTTTCTCAGAACCTTTCCCCCCATTCATTCCCACATTCTCTTTGCCCATCCCTTGTATTTGTGTATATGAAGGAGGGGGATACAAAAGCCCAGACACAGAACCACCAATTAGCTGGTTTTTGAAGCGTCATTGATGTTTTCTTGGACTTTTGGCTACCTTTCAAGCTAAATAGATCCAAGACTCAATCTTGGAATTCTATCTTCATCACTTTCTGCATTTTGTCATTTTTTTTGGTCCAAGTCCAACAAAATGGTGGTGAAATCGCCTAGAAGCAAAATGGTGATAGGAAATAGGCTGTTTTACCCAATTGTTGGGTTTGCATCATTTGGTGTTTTTATATACATGTCTTTTGGGGGCCTGTGGATGAATTTCCATGGAGAAACAAAGCTGAGCTTTGTGGAGAGGAATGGGACTCAGTTCTTGGTGGATGGTCAAGCATTCTATGTTAATGGCTGGAATTCTTACTGGCTAATGGACCATGCTGTGGATGAGAAAAGAAGGCCAAGGATAAGAGCCATCCTGCAAGCTGGTGCCAAGATGGGGCTCACTGTGTGTAGAGCCTGGGCTTTCAATGATGGTGCATATAATGCTTTGCAGATTTCACCTGGGAAATTTGATGAAAGAGTATTCACAGTAAGAATATTTAATGTTCACTTTAATAGTCTTGCCTCATATTATAATCCATACAATCTTAAAGCTGTCAAAAAACATTATAGACATCGAAATGTGTTTAGTACACATCATTCCTAGTTTGTCTCACTCCAGAAATTCATAGATTTGAGGAAGGCTTATGGTTTTGTTTGTGGCAGGCCTTGGACCATGTAATTGCAGAAGCGAGAAAATATGGGATTAGGCTGTTACTGAGCTTGGTTAATAATTTGCACGCGTATGGTGGAAAAACTCAGTATGTGAAGTGGGCATGGGAAGAGGGTGTTGGTTTGAGCTCTTCGAATGACTCGTTCTTTTATGATCCAACAACTCGCCTTTATTTCAAGAACTATGTGAAGGTAATTCGAGTAATTAAGCATGTTTATGTGTTCTTATTATTAAGCTCTGATCTCAAGCCTTTAATCTTCCTCTCTTCTGCTGCAGACAGTGGTAACGAGGAAGAACATGTTTACTGGGATTGAGTACAGGGATGATCCCACTATCTTTGCCTGGGAATTGATTAATGAACCTCGTTGCTTGACCGATCCTTCGGGTGACACCCTCCAAGTAAGTTTTTGTCTCTTTTTCTCTGTTGCAATTAACCTCAAGAGTTTTCAACACAGATGATTATATTTAAGCATCTTTAGTTGGATTTTATTAATTAGAAGTCATAGAATTGCAGGATTGGATAGAAGAAATGTCAACTTTTATAAAATCAATTGACAGGAATCATTTGGTAACTGTGGGGCTTGAAGGATTTTATGGTCCAAAAAGTTCAAAAAGTGTGAGTGTGAATCCAGAATTCTGGGCTGCTGATCTTGGAGCAGACTTCATTCGCAATTCTAAGATCCCAACCGTGGATTTTGCATCTGTTCATGTATACCCAGATCAGTGGTAAGCTTTCCTTAACCTACACTACCTTACAATTCTCAAAAAAAAAACAAGCTGATTTATGAAATCTTAGGAATCATGCATATCAAAACACTTGTGTTGATAGGTTACGCAACCAGAGTTTTGAAGAAAAAGTGGGGTTTGTGAGGAAATGGTTAGTTTCTCATATTCACGACGGTGACAAGGTACTGAAAAAGCCAGTGATGTTCACTGAATTCGGGTTATCAACCGAGAACAAGGAGTTCGATCCAGAGAAACGAGACAAATTCTTCAAGGTCATCCTGGACATGATATACAAATCTGCAAGGCGAAACCTGTCTGGTGCAGGATCATTCTTCTGGCAGTTCCTGGCCGAAGGGATGGAAGATTACAACGACGATTTTGGTATTGTTCCCTGGGAGAGACCATCAACATATCAGCTAATTACAGAGCACTCATGCAGGTTAGCCAGGCTTCACGGCCCCCTATCAACCCAGAAGGACTACTTGAAAAGCTTGTGCTCATCACACAGCTAGGCGATTGATCGATAATCGCCAAAAATTTTGTCTAGGCGAAACGAAACCAGTACAGCTGAAATGTGATTGTGTTGTTGTATCAGTTTGAGATCTGTAATGGGGATAGGTTTATATACTGTATAACCTATAAAAATTGCATCTTTTTTGCCTATCTATATATATACTGTCTCTATGGACCACTGACAAGACTAAATGACCGAGTAACATAAAGGAAATATGCTTTAATTGCTAAAAGTAACACTCAGACGATAATTGAACAGTTTGATTTATATTTTAACCTTTTCTTCAACCTTTCTGAGAGATTAGACTTTTCAAAAAAAAAAAAAAAAAAAGCAAACTTGAAATTGGGTGTGGAAGGAATTAAAGAGTGGGAACATGCAAGTACATTGTACATACGTAGAAACCATGGACGGCGAACACTGACAAACAGAGGGGAGTTATATACATATATACATAAATACGTTGTTTCCTTTGAAATTTCCTTTGTTTTTTTTCGGCTGCGCTTACGTCGTTTTCAATTAAGGTTTCTGCATGCTGTGCTGTGCCTATAAATGGCTGCAAAACATCTTTATTTCCATCTTCAAATATATATATTTCTGAAACAATAATGGAGAGGAAGCAGGTGGAGAAGAAGCGGAGGGATAACTTGAAGTCCCTCTATAACCATCTCTTTTCTCTGCTCCCAACTCATATCTCTCTGGGAGGAATGGCTCTTCCAGATCAAGTGGGAGAAGCCGTGAATTACATACAAACTTTGCAGAATCAACTGGAGAAGAACAAGCAGAAGAAACAAAAATTATTATTATTAATGGAGCAGCAGCGAAAAAGGCCTCACTACTACTCTTCATCATCATCATCATCATCATCATCTTCTTCCAATTTCTGCAGTAATTCAACGACCAAGAAACCTCTGATCCAAGTTGTTGACATCGCACCCGACATTGACGTTGTTCTGATCGATGGTCTGGAAGACATAGCTGCGTTTCACAACATCATCGCAATACTCAACCGACACGGCCTTGAAGTTTCCACTGCCATTTTTCAACCCCGCGGAAACTCCACTCTGCAGATTCTCCACCAACAACAAACTAAAACAGTGTACGAGAAACTAAAACAAGCGGTTAATGGATCCTCCGGCGATGAACCAGAATCATTAGATTCCTGGGATTACGATATTTGGGGATTCCCTATACTAGAAACATCCCAAGGACAGCTTCACAATCCACCACCATACTGAATAATTATATATGGACACTTGGCAGGACAGCCTCCACATTTATGCAGATATTATATTTTACATTTAGGGCGTTTGGTTCAGGTTATATAACATAACCAAGAGAATGTAACATTCCAAAGTTCACATAACAGTGTTTGGTTCATATTATCTTAGGGAATGTAACATTCCCAAGGAATGTCACATTCCTTCCACATAGGATTTTGAAGGGAATGTGATTCCCTTCAAAATCTTAGGTAATGTAAGATAACTTTGGTTATGTTAGTTTATTATATATATATATATATATATATATATATATATATATATATATATATATTTGTAATTATATATTTTTTAATTTTTATTATGTTATGTTAGCATATAAAATAATTTTGTTTCTCAAGTTCAAAATTTTAGAGTTAATATTTTAAAATCATGTAATTATATATGATACCGTTATCTTATTTATTTATTTTAATTTTTAAATTTATTAAAATATATGAAAATATGTTAAGGATATTATAGTGTGTATAAAAGATAACCCTAAACCAAACATGATTATATTACATACCCCAATTTTAACCAAACACAGGAATCTAACATTCCCAGTAATCTAACATTCCCAGCAATCTAACATTCCCTAAGGTAATCTGACATTCCGTGAACCAAACGGCCCCTTAGGTTTTTCATGACAGCCTCCAATATATGGGCCAAAGCCCAGAATGAGATGAATAAAAAATGTTAGTTAATTTGGAAGAGTGAAGAGAGTTAGTTAGTTAGTTGGGCTTATTGAATATTGATTATATTGATAGATCTTTTTTCGATGAAATGAAATTTATATTATATATTTGATTTGCCGCAACTGTTTTAACTTCCTTCAGTTCCGGGCCGCATGCATAATCACTATTGTACGTAGGTTGTCTGAGGTCCATTTAGTTAGAAAATTTCACATTATATACAACCGTGTTTTTTATATGTATATAGAATAGATATTTTTGGTACGTCTAATGTGTCGTTGTTGTTATAATTAATGTCTTTCATTCTTTGGTGGTATATTTTAGGAAATAGTATCTGTTATGTAGGGTCCAAATAATTAAATATAATTTAAAACGGATGATTTAACGTTGGGGCCGGGATAAATTATTTTGGCCATGTTTGGTAACATATTTAGTTTATCAGTCAATTTTAACTTATTTGACTACTATTAACTGTTTTTTTGACTTGGTTAAACAATCAACATGAATATTTGATTGATCAACTTTTTGTAACAGTTTATTGCTCCAAAATACTAAAATTTAAAAAGTTGCTCAAAATAATTTTTTTAATCAACTTTTTGAAAAAATTATTTTGCATGTAATTAGCTAACAACTAATTTATCAAACATTTTTACAAATACTATTGATTAATTGAACCCACTAACCCAATCAGCTAGCTAACCGTTATTTACCAAACCCACATTTGTGGAAGCTATGTGAGCCGGCGCGTATCGTGAGGTTGCAATTATTCAAATGAGTTCAATGCGCTGACTCTGGGGTCCCGTAATTGATCGATTTTTTTTTTTTTTAGAGGAATATTTTATGTTCATTCTTCACAAACTATGTAGTTAATGCATTAGCACACTTAAGTACATAATTAACTATTTATTAAAATTCCACCGAAATTCTTGCAAATATTAGAAGATATTTTTTTTTTCTGTTGATAAATAAGTTTGGACTAATCGTATCAAATGCGTAATAGGAGAAAGTCTTGACTAATGAAAAATACATGTGACAAACACAAGTTGACAAACACATTTTGTCTGGAAACTTCTGTTTCTGAGCATGTGGGACAAATGAGCCAGTTCTTATTTTCTATAAATTTAGGTTTCTTTATTTAATGTTGGTCCCCGTGGCGAGAAAAAAAAATCTGGTGAGGACTGAATATTTAAAAAAAAAAAATCACTTAAATTAGTAGAGAAATTAACTATCAGGTGAATCTAAGAAAGCTAAAAATTATAAGGTGACTATTTGATTGATATTTAATTCGGTTTTAAAGTTTAGGTACATGAGGCACATGAAAGTCTTGTTTTGTTTGATCATACATGTTACCCAATTGGTTTCAACACTTAGAAAACACATGTTAAAAAATTTTAAGTAGATAAAAAAAATCGTATAAAGTATTTAAAAAAAAAAAAAAAGTGTATGATTTAACGGACAATGCAATCCTCATATATAATTCACTCTTCTTCAATCGATTTCTCCGAAGAAGAATTCTCAAATAATTAAATATTAATACAGTAGCCACAATCCAATCCCAACTACTTGTAGCTCACCTAGTCCTTCATCACAATCTTCCTATTGGTTACGTTATTGCCTCTTCTAATCTCAATTGTTGATACATCTTTCACCTGATTATAGTCTTTTATGATTTAATGATATTTAATTTGGTATGACCTTTGCTCTATCTTAAGTGGTCCATTCATGTGAGTGATGTGACCATATCCTTATCATATTTAATTTGGTATGACCTTGGCTACGATCATATTCTAAAATTCTTTAACAGGGCGTTTGACCGTAATTGAATTATAATTCAGTGGATATTTCAATTACAATGGTTATTGGAGGAAATTGCAATTCCCTCCTTTTGTTGAATTGCAATTCATGGGGGTACCCCATGAATTGCAATTCAACAAAAGGAGGGAATTGAAATTTCCTCCAATGTACCCCATGAATTGCAATTCAATGAATTTGAGAAAGGAAAAACATATGAAATGACATTACTACCCTTGGTTGTTGTTATTATTATTATTATTATTATTATTATTATTATTATTATTATTACACAAGAGTATTTTAGTCTTTATACCACTTATTTTCTTCTCAATTCCAATAATTCTATTTCTCCCTATCAAACAACGTAATTTGAATTCCTACTTTATTCTTTTCCCACCGAATTACAATTCATTTCCCCCCTAATTCATTCCTTTCAACCAAACGCCCCCGTAAGCGTTTGACATTATATGATCTAATTAAATTTGTTTCCTTTAATTTACAAGTCTATTGAAAATTTAAAGTCTAGCTAAATGTAAGGCATCGAAATCTAAATTTCTATTATGCATTATTTTGCATTACCAAAAGCTATAATTACAATTATTAGATACAATATGCAAATTAAAATTGGTTTAAGTTAATAATTAGTAACAAAAATCACATATAAGCCAAGCAAGGAGTTGAGGGTTTTTATTTTTGTGATGTTTTTTTTTTTTTTTTTTTTTTTTTTTTTTTTTTTTTTGGAATATCAGAAAGCCAATGGAATGAAGCTAAACTATTTTAACAACATTAAATTTTTTCTTTACAAGTCTCCACTCTAAAAAGTGTCAATAATGTAGAAATACTTTAAGGTGACAAATTTAAAGTGACTCTCCCACACTCACTAATCTAACACAAGTTGGCATAATGATTTGTGAGCATGCTATCTTCTTCTTGTAAAGTATGAAAATCTTTACAATTCTTCCTACAACGGCTCTATAAGGTTTATTAATAGACTTCCATCCGTATAAATTTTTTAAATTCATTTCCATTCATTTTAAGGATCAACAAATATGATATATATATATATATATATATATATATATATATATATATATATATATATATATATATATATATATATAACTTAAAATAAGTCCATACGATTTTATTTTGCTAGCAATCACATGCTTTATGGTTCAAATCTTATCAATGATTAAAAAAAAATGTGATATGAATTTGATCTTGTTGTGAACAATAATGTATAAACATTTGAGAACATATAGGCTAGTGAAATTGTAATTTACCTGTTCTACCTGTTTCTCGAACAAGAGCTGATTTCAAACTTAACAAATATGATGGATATCTCAGCTATAATTTTGATGTGACGTATATAGTATATACGATAGCAAAGTTAATTGATGGCATACATACTGAACTTGACATGTGTTAGTTTGAATGTTACCAATTTTATTTTTTTTTTTGAATGTTACCAAATTTAAATGCGGTCGAGAGTTTTAATGTAACGCGGGTAGAGGGCTCCGCAATCCCGGCCTATTCCCTTCAATTTGGGAAACCAAACGGTCTACGTCTACCCATTACCAAACGAGTAGGTAGGAATAATCCTATAAATTACTAAATTCTTGTTATAGGCATGCAAATTATAATATTAACATGGTGTGTCAAATAAATTAAAGACATAATTTTTAGACTAGGTTTCACAATGCAATATTGCAATGTAAACTCTTAAATGTATTATATATATAGTGGTGCAAATCTCATTCTTTTTCCAATGTGAGACAAGTTCTTCTTACAAACCTTTCCACTTTCTTTTTCTCACTCAAATGGATCTAGCTACTTTGAAAACCAATTTCGCATTCACTCATTATTCGTTTTGAGCGAACAATATATTAATGTATTGCACGATAATTTTTAATATTATACTTACAAATAAATTTATAATATATTAAAAATAAATATTTAATATGATTGCCAAATTAAACAAGGCCATTGATCCACCATTCCATCGTATGATTTGTCTTACACGAATTATCAGGCATTAGTCATCAAATACCTCACATTAATGTGAGGTTTGGGCATGCGGGTACAATTGGGCCAGTAGTGATAGGACACAAGTAAGACTAGTAGGGTTCAATCAGGAGAACTCTTTAATTGCGGGCACGTCGGCAATATTAAATAATATACTATTTAATAACTGTACAGTTAATTTGAGTAATATTAAGACTTGTTTGGTAAATGATAGATCTGTCAAAATTTTGACAAATTTACTATTTCGATGTCTTAACCTTAGTCAAAAGGTCAAACTAAGTGTTTGGTAATTTGACAATTTGAAGTAACAGTTGGCTCCGAAATGCTAATTTACAAACTCTGTTAAAAGTAGTGTTTGCCCCTTGACTTTTGGGGGAAAGCTTGTTCTTTCCCTAAAAAATCATTTATGTTGAAATAAAAACTAAAAGTTATTGAGAGTGCAGCCATCACGGCTCCTTAATGAGG